AGAAGCTAGCGGGCGAGCTACGCCTCGCTCGTTTCTTGCACTCTAAACTAGTTTTATCATGTGGAACGTGGCGCAGGCAGCGCTGCGGGTTTAGCTCGCACTTGAACAACGCGGCAGTCTTCTGTCTCCTCCCGCCACTTTCATCGTCGTCTTATTCCCCGCCTCACCTTCTCCATGCTTGCTGCTGCTTCCGCGATGGCCTTTCGCCCCCCCCCCGCCCTCCATTCCATCCCTCTCCTACCCCTCGTTCCCGTACCCGTTCTTCTTCGATCCTGGGGCCTCGAGCCTCGTTCTTTCGATCGTCGTCCTGTGAATCGTGCAGCGCATGCGCATCTTATGCAGCTTGCGCAGCAAATCGCCGCGTCTACAGTGTCGTTGTTCCTGCTAATGTTGGCATACTCCTCTTGCCATTTGATGCACGTGGGCCGGGTACGTCGCAGGGTAATTTGCAATGGAAAGGCTCCGGTTGCGACCACGGCCGGGCAGAATATATTGTAAAAATATGGTTTTCTGATCGCATGATCAGGAAATAATATTTTTGTTGCAAGGGATGGAGGCCGACTTGCATAGCGACCGGTTTGGAAGGGATTAGGGTTTAATAGTTATAAGGATTAGAGATTTAGGGTTTAGGGTTTAGGGTTTAGAGTCTAACAGGGCAAGGCCAGGAATGCCTACCTGCATAGGCACTCACCTGCGGCGGCTATCAATCCCCCCCGCATCTCCACCCCCACATAAAGATCATCTCTCCTCTCATGTTATACCGTGGTTGTAGCATAGCATAGCATACCATAGCAAGCCTGGGAGCAAACGCTCAGCAAAGAGGCGGCGGCCGCGCGCGCGCGCGGGAGACCCTAACTGGCGGGTCGGGTCGGGTCGGGCGGGCGCACCCTAACGGGCGGGTCGGGTCAGGTCGGGCGGACCCTAACGGGCGGGTTGGGTCGGGAGGGCGGGACATTCAAGTATGGTGCGTGTGCACTTGACACGCGTGAACCCTAACAAGCGGGTCGGTTCGGGTTGGGCGGACTCTAGGGTTCGCCCGACCTCAACGCGCTTTGCTATGCAACGCCTCTCGTATGCTATGCCAGCATAACATAGATTAGCACAAAGGCGAGTTCCACGACATCTGGATAACCGCAGCCTCTAGCGTGGCTGTCGCATAGCACCACTGCTGAAAGAAAACGTTACAATTTCCAAAGAAGTTGGCCATGATCGCGCGGCCGCCACGCGCTTGTACACTTTGTCATATTTTTTGCAATGGAATAGTACCATGCACACATCTTGCAAGAGCAGAATCTTCAGATTATAGTGTTGTTTACAATACATAACTCCGGTACGCATACGGGGCGGCCGCGCGCGCGTGCACTTTGTTGCATTTGTTGCAATGGAATACGAGCATGGACACATTTTGCAAGAACAGGATGTTAAGATTATATTTTTTACAACACAAAACTCCGGTACATTTCCCGGTTCGCGACCCGGGTTGGGCAGAATGTATTGTAACAAAAAAAGTTTTCTGATAAATGCGATGCGCATGATCAGGATATTGTTTTTTGACAGGGATCAGCCCGGCCCGCGGATAGAACCGGTCACGATCCATTGTAAAAAACATCGTTTTCAGAGCACATAGAGAGCGCATGATCAGGAAATAATATTTTTTTGCATAGGATGGAGGCCGGTCCGCATAGCGGCCGGTTTTGAAGGATTTAGGGTTTAATAATTATAGAGATTAGAGATTTAGGGCTTAGGGCTTAGGGCTTAGGGCTTAGGGTTTAGGGTTTAGGGTTTAGGGCTTCTCGGGCGCGCAGCGGCCGACAGTCAAGGCAAGGCAGCCCCCCCTTCGGCAAGCTTGATTGGGGGGGCGTTTAGCCGACCCGATCAAGCTTGGCGAAGGGCGCCAGAGCTGCAACCACTTCCCACCCCCGGCCGCAGGGCCGGCGACTTCCCAAACTAAAGCCTTTTAGGGTTTAGGGCCGCTGGCCCCTAAATTCCCAATGCGCTCCAAGCGCTCCCAGGCGCTCCCAGGCGCTCCCAGGCGCTCCCCGGCGCTTCCAGGCGTTCCCCGGCGCTTCCAGGCGCTCCCAAGCGCTTCCAGGCGCTCCCAGGCGCTTCCAGGTGCGCCCAGGCGCTCCCAGGCGCTCCCAAGCGCTCCCAAGCCTTCCCACGCGTTCCCCGGCGTTCCCAGGCGCTCCCAAGCGTTCCCAGGCGCTCCCAGGCGTTCCCAGGCGCTTCCCGCGCGCTCCCAGGCGCTCCCAGGCGCTCCCAGGCGCTCCCAAGCGCTCCCAGGCGCTCCCAGCACTCCCAAGCCTTCCCAGGCGCTCCCACATGCGCCCAGAGGCGCTCGGAGCGCTTCACACGTGTTTTTACGTGTCGGAGAAGCATAGGAGGGAATTCCAAGTCAAAAGTCTTTGGGTTTAGGGTGTTATTTTCTTCGAGGATCAAAGGAAAGTTTATCTTTGAATCGCGACTCCCAGGGAGCAGCCTACGGCTGCATGGGCGACCCAGTCTGGCAACCAGCTGACGCTTCTCAGAGATGCCCTGTCTCTCGTAGACGGCGACGGTGATGCGCGGTGGGTGGGCAGAAGCACAACGAGGTGCTTGGGAATTTAGGGTCTAACAGGGCAAGGCCAAGAATACCTACCCGCATAGGCACCCACCTGCGGCGGCTATCAATCCCCCCCGCATCTCCACCCCCACATAAAGATCATCTCTCCATCCAAGTCGTACAGGGGGAGGGTCGATTGTATATAGTCGTACAGCCCGAGAGGGGTTCCGTGCGTGCCCGATTTTTAGTTCTTTTTTCTCGACAGTTTGTATTTGTTTTTTTTTCTTTTTCTCTTTTATCTTTTTTTTTTATTGTTGGTTTCTTTTTTTTTTTCTTTTTTTTACTTTTTTTTTTTTTTTTGTTTTTGTCTTTTTCGCAGATGGTGAGGATATGATCGATTGCGTATAGTCGTACAGCCCGAGAGGGGTTCCGTGCGTACACGCTCGCAGATGGTGAGGGTATGCATGGGTCGATTGTATGTAGTCGTACAGCCTGAGAGGGGTTCCGTGCGTGCCCGCTCGCAGATGGTGGGGGTATGCATGGGTCGATTGCGTGTAGTCGTACAGCCCGAGAGGGGTTCCGTGCGTGCCCGCTCGCAGATGGTGGGGGTATGCATGGGTCGATTGCGTGTAGTCGTACAGATGGTGAGGGTATGCATGGGGAAAGTGCACATCGGAGACGATGGATGATCAGGATGTAGTGTTTTTTGCAATAGATCGTGAGGGTTTGCATGGCGGGTCGGGCAGGATATAGTGATTTTTCATAGGGAAAGTGCACATCGGAGACGATGGATGATCAGGATATAGTGTTTTTTGCAGTAGATCGTGGGGGGGTTACATGGCGAGCCGCAGGGCGAGCCGCAGGGCGAGCCGCGAAAAATCAGGAAATCAGGGTTTAGAGTTTAATAATTATAGAGATTCGAGATATCGGGTTTAGGGTTTAGGGTCTAACAGGGCAAGGCCACGATTACAACCTTCAACGGAACCCACCTGCGGTCGCCATCATTCCCCCCCGCATCTCCACCCCCCATAAAGATCATATCTTCTATCATGTCATAGCGTGGCTGTAGCATAGCATGGCATGGTATAGCAAGCCTGGGGGCAAGCGCTTAGCAGATACAGCATGACATCGCGTAGCATTGCCTACACGCATGATGTAGCCAGGCCCGCACCTGGTTCCAGGGCCAGTGAAGCATAAGATGACATGCGTTGTCATGAGGTAGGGCATGACATAGCATAGCATGGCCCATACGTCGTCGCCCTCGCCGTCGTCGTCGTCGTCGTCCGTCGTCGGCACTCGTCGTCACTCGTCGGCACTCGTGGAAATCGTCATGACCGTCGTCGTCGCGTAGCCTGTGGTACCGCGGCTGGCGGGATACGCCGAACGCCGCTAATGAGCGCACGAAGGATAGGTGCGTCATCACACTGATGAACCATAATATGGAATACATGATAGATAAGTGGATGATGCATGCGTTCCTCATAACAATGAAAACATAAACAAGTAGAGAATAACAAAAAAATGCGCACGCATGGCTTCACTTATTTCTGATAGGATATGATAAACTCTTCCCTGATGAGTAAGCAGCGATGCTGAGCAATAAAACGAAGGCATCATACACCGCACGGGATTCGCACTGCCAAGCGAACGCCCGAGGATAGATGATAGAAGCACTTCCCACGGACATGCACAAAGAGAATGAGTCCTAGACAAAGACTGATTCAATTATAGAAACCCGCGTGGAAACCCGTCTTCACTTTGGTTATGGCAACCCCGTATTCAATTATAGAAACCCGTTTCGTCAGTTACGGCAAACCATTTCTGCAGTCATGGATAGCCGTGTCGGCTTACAAAGACCCAGATAAAGTATGGAGACCAGTGTCAGGACACAGAAACCCCGCTCGACAATCATAGAAACCCGCGTCAGACTCACAGATCCTACTCACACTGTCACGCATACGTGAAACACAACTGACAGGCACCTCATCCGGATGGTCCGATACACAGGATGGCGCACAAAATGTGTGGACACCATGTCAAACATGACGCAGCATAGCATGGCCTACAAACATGATGACGCAAGCCCCCCCCCCCTGTTTCTGGGGCCAGTGCAGCATAAGATGACAGAATGCTGCGCTGAATAAACAGCAACATACAGAATCCGCACACAAGACCCAGATATGCTAGGCAACCCAAAAGAGAGTTTGTCTTCTCACGCTATTGACATGAGCCCTTGAACCGGATCACATCACGCGACCTTTCATAAACCAGACTTGTGAAAACAAGTCTCCCTCACAACTTATAGTGAAGAGCAGACGTCGCTCTTTGGTCGGACGAGACCGAGACAAACCGGATCAAGCAAGCACAGAACTGATGCAATGCACAGGATAGCCAAATCATTCACGAACGCAAAGCACGCGTCCGACAGAACCAGAATACTGAGAAGCGGCGCGGAAGATCACGCGACGTACGCCGAGCGGGGGCGCTTGCCATGCGCACGCCGACGCCGAAGCCCGAGGGCGCTGGCGACAGTCAGCCCAGCCGGGCATTCGCTGAGCAGCGCCCCCCCCGGCAACACCGCGTCGACACAACAGAATCCAGCGCCCAGCCTGCCAGCGCGATGCTCAGCCATCATCTGATCATAGATATCCTTCAAGCAATCGGTGGCGGCCGCCGCGATCCTGCCACGGTGCACCTCTGCAAGGGTATCAAAGCTGATCCAATTGCCATCGAACGAGGCCTGCAATAGCAACGGTGGAAACAAATGCGCCACGTATATCAAGTCACCCGTCATTGCCGGGAGCGCGCGTAAACCGTCAACGTGCACGCCGCAGGCCACGGCCGTGCCGTCGCTCCTCAGTAGGACAGCGTGCACCTCTCCAGCAGCTACATGAGTGTAAGTCATTCCAGCGGCCAGCGGCGGGATACAGCATGCCCCCGCTCGTAGATGCGGTGGGCCGCAGGCCACCGCCGTGCCATCGCTCCTGAGTAGCACGGCGTGGTCATAGCCAGCAGCAACCTGCGTGTAAAGAATGCCATCATCAAGGCAAGGAATATCCTGTGCGTATAAATAGCCCCGCCAGGGCGCAGATCCTGCGCGGACCACAGCTGCCCCGTCGCTCCGAAGAAAAATGTTGAACTCATCACCAGCAGCAACCTGCGTGTAAGCAACGCCACGCGGCGCCACATCGACAGACCACCGACGGCCCGAAAGCCCAAAGGAGAGGCATGACAAGGCCCGGCCGTCACTCCGGAGAAGAACCGTGTGTGCAGGTCCAGCAGCCACCTGAGTGTAAGTCAAGCCCTCCCGCAACACAGGGAGGTCGCACTGGCATGATAGATCCCAGCCGAAGGCCACGGCGATGCCGTCGCTCCTGAGAAGGACGGAGTGCCTAGCGCCAGCAGCAGCTTGCGTGTAGGTCAAGCCGCGCGGTAGCGCCGGGACATCGCACTGACCTAACCCATTCCGACCGCAGGCGACGGCCCTACCGTCGTTCCTGACCAGAATTGTAAAGGCGCCTCCAGCGGCAACTTGAAGGAAAGCCTGCCTGTCCACCAGCGCCGGAAGCTCGCACTGTTACCGCAAGCCACGGCCGTGCCGTCGCTCCTGAGGAGGACGGTGTGGTTCCATCCAGCGGCAGCGAACATCCTCGCGAAGACCACCGACGCAGACAAGGAGGCGCGGCGGTGCGTCTCAGACCGACGGGCTCGAGAAAAGCCTAAGCCATATGCCACCAGGTGTCGACTGTCATGAATAGCCGTGTCGGCGTACAAGTTCCGAAATTGAATCACAAAAACCACCATAGGTTCCCCACAATGTGGGGAACCTGTGCTGTAGCATATCATGGCATAGCACAGCGGAGCATAGCAGAGCATGGCGAAGCATCAGTTTGCAACAACCTGACCCATGGTGCAGCATAGCATAGCATAGAAAAGCAGGGTAGCACGGCATGGCAAAGATTATATTCCTCACTAGGTGAGAAATCTATGTTGTATCATAGCATAGCATAGCATACCATAGCCCAGCATGGCAAACCATAGGTTCCGCACTTAGTCGGGAACCCATAGTGTAGCATAGCATAGCATAGCCTAACATAGCACAGCATGGCAAAACATAGCCCCCCCCCCCCACTAAGTGGGGGAGCTATGGTGTAGCATTACATATTAGCTTAGCGTAGCACAGCATAGCAAAGCATGGCAAAGCTTAGGTTCCCCACTAAGTGAAACCTGCGTGCATAGCATGGCAACGCATACCATTGCATAGCATAAGACTGCCGCACTGGCCCATGTACACTTGAAAACCCGGTATGCAATTATAGAAACCTTTGATCAATTTGGTCATCAACAACCATGAGTCACATCCAGACACGATATTCAATTCTAGAAACCCGCATGGAAACCGTACTCGCTTTGGTTATGGCAACCCCATGTTCAATTATAGAAACCCGTCTCGTCACTTACGGCAAACCCTTTCGTCAGTTCAGGCTATTTCGGCAGTCATGAATAGCCGTGTCGGCTTACAAAGACCCAGATAAAGTATGCAGACCAGTGTCAGGACACAGAAGCCCCGCTCGACAATCACAGAAACCGCGTCAGACTCACAGATCCTACTCACAATGCCACGCATACGTGAAACACAACTGACAGGTACCTCATCCGGATGGTCCGATACACAGGATGGCGCACACACAAGGTATACGATCATGTGTTTGTGTGTGTTTGTGTGTGTGTGTGTGGGACTGAGTGGGTGTGTGTCGAGCGTGTGTGTGTGTGTGTGTCCGCGAGCGCGTGAATGTAAGTGTGTGTGTGTGGGTGTGATTATGTGTGTCCATGTGTGTGCTTCAACGGGATAGACCACCATCCCAACTAAGAAAGCTGCACGAGCTGGCCCATACGCGACCAGTACACAATATGATGAGCCATGCGCCAGTTCTTCCTCCTCTCAAACACAAGGGTCCAGGCATAGAGTTCCGAGCACCGGCAGCAAGCACTCAGGCCAACTATGACACAACGTCGCATAATCGATAGCTACGCAATGGTGCATACAAAGATAATCACATAGTATCACAGACGCCCGAGCATGTGGGCCCGCATGTTCGCGCCCACAGCCGTGGACGAATCATCGGAATCCGATGTGGAGCTGTCAACCGCCCTCCCATAGCGAGCAGGGAAATCGAGCCCAGTCATAGACCAAGCATCCGTCTGCCGCTGCCGGGCGGCTAACTCATGATGGAATAGACGCCAGGCCACCTCCAGGTCCCACAACCTCTGCCCCATGGTCATGTAATAGTTCTGAGAACTCTGCACGATAGCCATTAACCACGATTCCTCACGGCGCCCAACGAGCGCCGCAATAAAGCGGTACAGCACAGGATGATAGATGATACCGAGGAGCGTAAGCGGCATTGCTGAACACGAGCAAGTGATAGTCTTTAAAATAACAAGAAGAGGACCCCCACGGGAAGACCACCATTGACCCAAAGAGACTACGGATAAGGCCCTGCTATAGCGTACGGTTGCAGTTCAGCACCCGCAACAAACACAAGCATAGAGAAACCAGCTGGTGTGAATGCACAACGATACGTCCCACACAAGCCACGACCATAGCACGCCACGCAAACACGCAGATGATGCGAATGATGATGATGATGATGGTGATGGAGCTGGAATGCACCAGGTAATAGCGTGACAGGCACACACTATAGCACAGAATGGAGGTTCGCTGAGGTTCTGCCCTGCCGTGTAGCGTGGCCCCACAATACCACTGGAGGCTCGATGAGATAACAGAAAATGAAAAGCACTGCGTGTCAACGACAGGTACTATAGGAAGCTACCGCTATAGCATGACAATGCGGATAGCAAGGGAATTACATCAGACGCCAGGTTCCACTGAATATAGAATCCCATCTTAGCAGGGCAATGACATGGCACAGCAAGAAAAAACGCCTTGACGAATCGCGAACCCATGACGAAGACAAAGAATTTTCGGGTTGAAAATCGCAACATGTAGATAGCCTGCGGCCCTGACGCTTACGGTCACGGATAGACCAGCCCCGCCTAATGAAAGGAAGCTACGGCAACCGTATGAAGCATAGCATAGCAAGGAATAGAATAGCATAGCATAGCGTAGCATAGCAGAATGGCATAGGTTCCCCACCGGGGAAGCTATGGTGTAGCATAGCGTGGCATAGCATAGCATAACACAGCAAGGCAAAGCATATCATAACCCTAGCGTGGCATAGCATAGCATAACACAGCGGTCGTACGCCTCGGGGCGCCTATAGGCGCCGAAAATGCAAGGCCGGCCAAGTACACAGCAGACCCAGGATACCCCAACGGAGATAGTTCAAACCACCGGGCGCGGCCAGAAGGCAGAAGATTGAATAAGAATGGATGCATCGGCGGGGCGGGTGAGGGTACGAGAATAGATAGGACGTGTACGGGGTGGTGGACCCGGCCGTGGCCGCAGAAACAATTAATAAGTAGGTGCATGGGCAGAGGAGGTAAACAAATAATAATCCCGGTCGACGTCGTCGTCGTCAAAATATCAACATCATGGTGTCCGCGTGGTCGTGAAGGAGACTAACACATAAAAAACATAATCAATAGAAACATAATCAATGACATAACAGTAGAGCACTCCGAGAGATAGGATTGGCGGAGACCATGAGAGAAGAGCCGACGATACGCCGACCACACCGCAGCCTAACAGATACCCCTGGTGGGATGCTTGAAACAGCTCAAGCGATGGCGCCCAGACGCAGCGCCCATGCGCGGAAAACTACTGCGAGGCCCTCATAGCAAATCAATCTATGTCAAGCGCATAGCAGCCCGCATTCGGAGCGACGACACAAAACTCACGATAAACACTCCAAAAAAACAGCTGTCTCGGAACGATGCTCATCTTGGTGGGCGCGCATCCACACAGTGAACTCAATAATAGCAAGGCGGCGAGGAGGTAGCTCTCGGCACAATAGGTTGACAGCCGACTGCCAAGAGAGCGGACCGTGCTCGTGCACATAGCCAAGAACACCCTGAAGAACTTCCCCAGCAGAAGCATGAGGACGAGCATAGTCCATGAGCAACGGTACCCATACCCAGGCTACCATAAACGCCCAGCGAGACTGAATAGCCAAGAACACGAAATTCAAAAGATTCAAAGGTGAAATGCAACTCCAATAGCGCCGCATGTCCATGTAGACACCCTCACGCCAAGCGATGATAGGTGTGAGCCACGGCTCCAGGCTCTCTTTCGCATCGGATAGGATGCCAGGCGCCGCCGCAAATTTATTCAAAGTGCACACGCGCTGCACGTAATAGACGACATCGTCCTCTGTGATATCCATAGGCCAGCTGTTCTCGAACCTGGACACAAATTGTTTGCTGGCAAGAAAATCACGAAGCATAAGCTGAGAATCATAGGCCGCCGCAGGGCGGCTCTGCGAACGAGCCCTGGCACCCGCCGGGGTGCGGGTCGCAGAGCGGGCCCTGGTCCCCATGAAAGCTTGCCCCGGCGGGTCACGATAGCCCCGCTGAGAGAAGGCTGCAGACATACACTCAGTAAACAAATCGCAGCAACAACACAGAAGAAGATAGAAACGCCCACAACAAAGCAGACGAAACACTACCAAAAAGTAATCGCGATGGAATGAATACACAGATACCCGTAGCACAAGAATGACCACACCGATCATAGTAAATATGCATGCCCGCCAGAAAAAGCCTTGCCACAACATAGAAGTGGATGAAAGCAAGACCTCAGACCGATAAAACACGACACTGAATAAAATGAACGGATGCTGTTAGACGGAATGATGCACAGCACAGCTGGGCATATATTGCAAAATAGCATCGTAATAACATATCTCACCATAGCATGACAAGCCATAGCACAACAAACAGAAAGAGAAACCACAATAAGATGAATACTCGAATGTCCGTTGCACACGTATGGCCACACCGAGTATGGTAAACATAGCACAACAAGCAGCGAAAGCGTAACCGCAATAGGATGAATACACGAATATCCGTTGCACACTCATGGCCACACCGATTATAGTAAATACAACTGCCCCACCAGACTAGCCTTTGTCAAAACACAAAAGGAGATACAAGACGAAAACCCCTGTTGAATATTGTCATCGGGCGGAGCCTAACGGGCGGGTAGGGTCGGGCGAGCGGGACATTTAAATATGGTGCGTGTGCACTTGACAAGCATTTACCCCGACAAGCGGGTCGGTTCGGGTCGGGCTGACTCTAGGCGGACCCTAACGCTCTAGGGTTCGCCCGACCTCAACGTGCTTGGCTATGCCACGCCTCTCGTATGCTATGACAGAATAACAAAGATTACACAAAGCGAGTTCCACAACATCTGGGTAACCGCAGCCTCTAGCGCGGCTGTCGCCGAACACCAGTGCTGAAAAACATTAAGATTTCCAAAGAAGTTGGCCATGATCGCGCGGCCGCCACGCGCTTTTACGCTTTGTCATATTTTTTGCAATGGAATAGTACCATGCACACATCTTGCAAGAGCAGAATCTTCAG